CATAATCAAACCGGCGGTGGATGGGACGTGTCTGCTGAATCTTTGTTCATTAGGCTAACAGCTTTGAAGCCTTGTCATGTTGTGTTCTCTACAGAGGCTAAAGCTTGTTATTTCTGTGCTGCGAGAATGTGACAGGTGAGTTTCTATTCCCCGGTGTTTGAACAACAGATCCCAATTAGAGCCGCTAATCACTGCGAGGCGTACGGAAGGCAGCGCGTCTCAAAAGGCGCCGCGGACACGGAACGCCAAAATGTCCACGTGTTTAAGAAGAGAAGAAAAGGTGTCAGGAATTTTCTCTGTTTTAAAGTTGCTAAAAATATCGCCGGAGAAACATTTATCTTGAAACATGTTTGGTTTGTGTGTTGTACTGTCTACAATCACGGATTATTGAAGATTATTGAAGATTTTCTAAAACATAAGTATTTGTTGAAGCTTTTAACCACGTCACAGCATTTATCTCAAAAAATAGAGTTTGTACTTAAAGGACCAGTAGTTTTTCTGATCCACCCAGAAGTAGACAATCCGCCTCTAAACCTTTAAGTCTTGCTTCTTCATCAGGCTAAACTTGGAGATTTTTAGACTTCTTTCCTAATTATGCCAGATTTTTTACTGCTTCTTTTAATGCCAGAGTTAGAGCAGTGGTCTCCAACCTGTGGCTCGGGAGCTACCATTAGCTCGTCAGCCCCTTTCAGATAGCTCCCCAAAGGATCTAGATTATAACAGATGATCTTGTTTAGTCATTCCATCTATTTTAAGTGTTAATATAGGGTTTCACAGTGTTACGAAGTATCTATGTGCTCTTTTTGCATCTGAATTATTACATAGATTTTTTATTAAAACTGCAAAAATAAGTAGCTCTCTGCCTCTTTTAGTGGATATAAGTAGCTCTCTGATGGAAGAAGGTTGGAGACGCCTGAGCTAGAGATTTGATTTGAATTGATTTTAGTATAGAATTATTATTCTTTTATCTTGTGCTGTGTGCTCTTCATTCCTACTGTTCTGTCACTTGTGATGCAACACTGGAATTTCCCCACGGTTGGACCAATAAAGAATCTCTTTATCTACACCTGGAGTCTCCAACCTACACTTTTAGCTCTCCACCCTCTTCAAAGTAGCTCCCATAGGATTATTTTACAAGTCACGTTCTTAAAACTTTTGCAAACGGCAATTTCAACTTCAAGTTAGCTTAAACCACAAATACAAAGTCGATTAGCTCTTTTGTTAAAATTCATAGATTGTTTTTTACTTTGACAACTTCGACAACGTGACAAGTAAGTGGCTAGTGCTAAATCCGACAAAAAAACAGCTTCGGTCTAAATAGAAAAGAAAGATATTACCAGGTTTAAAAACAACAACGAGAACATTTAGCTTCAGTTTTATTTTTTATACAAGTTTTTTTTTTTTTCAGACACGCCCTTGCCCCTTCTGTACAAACGATTATTGTTCAATCTTTTTACACTAAGACAATTCCTCAGGCTGTGATATATGCTTTCTGCCTGTCCCTGTTTTCAGTCCATAAATCATTAGTGAAGACAAGATATTGGCCATAACTGCAGGTGAAAGCCAGATCCTGTCAGACCTCTACAGCTAAGTAGGGCCGGACCTGGTCAGACCTGTGATGGGAGAACCGGGCGGCTGCGGTACCAAAGTGCCAAACTGTCCTTAGGCAAGACACTTCCCCCACATTAGAATAAGTCTGTTGTGTGTGTGAATGGTTGGTGGTGGTGGGAGGGGCTGATGGCACAGACTGGTACTTTATCACCATCGTGTATGAAGTGAAAGAATAATGTCATGCAAAGCGTCTTAAGTGTCCAAAAAATCCTCTATTGGTCCCACAGTGGGGAAATGTCAGTGTTGCAATCACCAGTTTCAAAACAGTAGGAATGAGCAGCACACAGCACACGATATATGAAAAACTCAATACATAAAAATTCCATCTTTAACACAGAAAAGAAGCAAGAATAAAACCCTGTATATTCCAGTACTGTAAATATATAGCTGTACATGTTAGCATTAGCATTAGCATTGAAGATTCTGACATGGGTTCAAAGTATAGGAACAGGACTCTATGGACTGAGAGCTGATTGGCTGCTGCAGGTGATGATTCGGGACACTACATTTATGGACATTTATGAACATTTATGGACATTTATGGACATTTATGGTCTCTGCCTCTTATGGACCAATGACCAATGTGTTTTTATCATTGCATTTCTCGTCACAGCGGTTTTGTAAAGTTCTCTGAGACACCTCCTGTTGTGATTTAGGGCTGCAGAAAAATACATTAAACCCCATTACATGCATGCATACTGATATAGGAGCAGGTCAGATGGATTTAAACCTCCTCAATCTACTTTTAGTTCAATAAAAACAGCATTCAGAACTGCATTATTGTGATGTATGTTTGTGGCGGTGTCTGTACAGCTCACTTCACATGTCTGTCCTTGGGTTCTCCTGAACGAGGCTGAGTGCTCTTAGGTGCATTAGAGCCGATAAAAGCGACACATTTGCAGCATTTTTCTATACTTTCTGTGCCGTGTGGGGAGAAGACCTTTTACTGATGCATCAAGTACATGTTGTATAAGAGAAAATAACTTCAAAACTATAGCGTTTTTAAGTCAGTATCAACATACACTGCATATTTGTAATTGATAATAATAATGATATTTGGATGATATCAGAAACTGGACCAATAATTCTTTTAATAACTGACTAGTTTGATAATGGCTTTAATTGGGGACAGCAGTGGATAGGTCACAATGATAGATGTTATTCATGTTATTCAGCAATTCACTAATTCATTGATTCTTGAACTACCAGAGCAGTCTATTTGACGCAGTTCAGTTTTGGAAATGTAATTATGCATCTCATGTGCATTCTTGGTCTTCATGGCGTTATGACTTTTCTGTCTCTCTGTATTTTCTAGTACTTTAACTCCTTTTGCCCTAGAGAAAAACAAGTGATAGTTACCATAGCAACACACTACCTTTATTTTTTGGCTGTAATTTCACATACTGTATGTCTCATTAACAGAACTGAACAGTGCAGTCACAGGCAAAACTTTGGCACAAACACATCTCCCGTTCATCTTCTGTCAATGCTTTGAAGTGTGTGTCGAGTAATTTAGGGGCCTTTTTGTTGACGTGCATATCGATGTGTGTGGTGTGTGTGAGTGTACATCTGTATGCATGTGTGTGTGGATCTGTATGTGTGCATAGGTGTATGCCTGTGTCTGTATGTGTGTATATGTGCGTGTGTGTCTGCGTATGTGTGTGTGTCTGTATGCCGTGTGTGTGTGGGTGTGTCTGTGTGTGCATCTACATGTGTGTAATTTATTATGCGTGTGTTTGTGTGCATCTGTATGTGTGCGTGTGTATGGAGGCATCTATATGGGTGTATATGTTTATGCGTGTGTGTATCTGTATGTGCATGTGCGTGGGTGTGCATCTGTATGTGTGTGTGTGTGTGTCTGTATGTGCTTGTGTGTGTGTCTGTATGGCGTGTGTGTGTGTGTCTGTATGGGCGTGTGTGTGTATCTGTATGTGCATGTGCGTGGGTGTGCATCTGTATGTGTGTCTGTGTGTGTCTGATAGTGCACGTGTGTATGTGTCTGTATGTGCTTGTGTGTGTGTCTGTATGGGCGTGTGTGTGTATCTGTATGTGTGTCTGTGTGTGCACGTGTGTATGTGTCTGTATGTGCTTGTGTGTGTGTCTGTATGGCGTGTGTGTGTGTGTCTGTATGGGTGTGTGTGCCTGTTTGTGCACGTGTGTGGTTGTGTCCGTGTGCGCGTGTGTGTGTCTCTATGTGCGCGTGTATATATGCATCTCTATGTGTGTATATGTTTATGCGTGTGTGCATGCATCTGTATATGTGTGTGTGTGCGCGTGCGTGTGTGTGTGTATGTTTAGTGTGAAGCAGTCCTGAGCTTTCTTATGCATGTTTTCTCGTCAGATGAAGACAGTTAGTAAAATCTTGTCCTTTAGCGTCTCTGACTCCGCCTTCAGCCGGACTCCTGTCTGACGTGATGGACATATATGGACGTGGCTCCTCTGGGACTTCCTCTGAGCTCTTGATCACAGCCGGTGATTGAGTCGCACTTTGAGTTTGTCCCAAATTGACGCAGGATCAATGAACGCATTTGTAAGTGTCAGACGAAGCATCCGCGGTTCACGTCAGTCACTTTTCTAATGAGTGGATCACATTATGACGGGAGGAAATGCAGCGAGGAGCTTTGATGTCACTTCACAGATAAATGATTCTATTATGTTTGTGGTCCAGAAGGTCTTTTCATTTTGTTTGTTTCTTTTCATTTACTACAATTGTGAAATGACTGGAATGGATGTGAAGAAAAAATGTTTTGTCTTCCTGCATTCAACATTTCAGTCATTTGTCAAAGAGTAAATAAGATAATATTATTCCATAGACATTCCATTAGGGAGCATCCTCTTGTGCAGCCCAAACACAACTGCTCTGTATTTAGTTCCAGAACATAACGAATGTCAGATTATCTCCAAACGCATTACAGTCTCTTGGCTAACAGCAGAGTGACATTTAGTCTCAGAATCGTTATTTATTCATTCACGTGTGGTGTGGTGTCCATAGCTTTTTCTTGGACTGAATGTTTCTCATGCATCTGAACGTTGGGCCAATTTTAACAATTAAGTCAAGTGATGTTTACACAATGCAGCCGAACAATTACAACCATTTGTGGAAGTAAAAGATGGCAGTGGAAGCAGCCATCTGCTGGAGGCCATCTGCTGGTGAAAGCTTGTAGTTTGTCAACAAACTAACAAACTACAACTGTCTGTCCATTAGTGGTCTTTCTCCCCGTCCTGTGATTCATCCCAAATCTATGTTTTAAAAAGATACATTTTGTCTTGTTGAGTAAAAATATATATATATATTTTCTGTTCATTTAAAGAACATCCTTGTTACATGTTTCGACTGCAGAGCTGCGGGCATGTCGTTACGTGTATCAGCTGACGTTCCTTCCTGACAGGTCGCTCAGCGAGAGGGGTGTGGTCTCCTCTCTGGAGGAAAGTGTCCTGCATCTTCCCCCAGGACCTGTTTCATTTTGTTCTGTCCTGTCCCCGTCAGCGTCTGCATCGGGGCCGTGAGGTCCACCGCTCAGACTGAGGCAGCCGGGGCCACAGCACCGTCACCTCAGCTCGCTCTGCTGCTTACTAAGTTATAGTTTAAAACAATAAAATGTAACGATGAAACGATGAAACCACACCATAAATACAGGAGCCCCACAGGGCTGTGTTCTTTCTCCCCTGCTCTTCTCCCTGTACACCAACCACTGCACCTCCAGCCACGACTCCGTGAAGCTGATCAAGTTTGCGGACGACACCACCCTCATTGGACTCATCTCCAACAACGATGAGTCCGCCTACAGGAGGGAGGTGGACCGGCTGGTGTCCTGGTGCAGTGGTAACAACCTGGAGCTGAACGCCCAGAAGACAGTGGAGATGATTGTGGACTTCAGGAAGAGCACTGTCCCCCCACCCCCACCCTCCGTGATGGACTCCCCCATCACCTCTGTGGAGTCCTTCCGTTTCCTGGGCACCACCATCACCCAGGACCTCAAGTGGGAGCCGACCATCAGCTCCCTCATCAAGAAGGCCCAGCAGAGGATGTACTTCCTGCGGCAGATCAGGAAAGCCAAGCTGCCTGCACAGATGTTGGTGCAGTTCTACACAGCCGTCATCGAGTCCATCCTCACCTCCTCCATCACCGTGTGGTTCGCTGGAGCCACAGTCAGGGACAAACAGAGACTACAGCGCATTGTGCGCTCTGCAGAGGAAGTGATCGGCCGCAGCCTTCCATCAACCACTCCCCTCAGGCAGGAGGCTGCGGTCCATCAGGACTAGAACCTCCCGCCACAAGAACAGTTTCTTCCCCTCTGCTGTTGGACTCTTGAACACTTCTTAACCTGTCCCCCCGCCCTTTATAAAGTCACTTTACTGCCCATCATACGTCACTTTACTTCACTGTACTGCTGTCACCTTACATTGTGTGCACCATGTGCACTTGTATATTGTAAATAGTAACTGTAACTCTATTTTAAATTTAGATTTATTCTTTAGAAGTGTTTTTTATTCTTATTTTTATTATCTCTTTTTGACTGTTGCACTGAGCCAAAGCAATTTCCTAGTCTGTGACCTCCTGTTACTTACGTGGCAATAAAAATGATTCTGATTCTGATTCTGATTCTGATTCTGATAGATACATTAAAACTGAGCCACTGTGGCTCAGTTTTGGCTCAGCGGCTGTAAAGTGCCAGACTGTCGTTGTGTCCTTGGGCAAGACACTTCACCCCTATAGCCTAGAATGAGTCTGGTGTGTGTGTGAATGTTTGGAGGGGCCAATGGCACCTGGTTGCCTCGCTTCTGTCAGTGTGCCCCAGGGCAGCTGTGGCTACAGCAGTAGTTATGAACCACTGTGTATGGAGTGAATGAATAATCACATGTGAAGCGTCTTTGAGTGTCCAAAAAAGCACTTTTAAAAACTGATGTATTAAAGCTAATACACGCAGCACTTTACGTATATTCGTTTCAGAAATAATTCATGTTTTCCAAACTAAGTAAGGTACCCCAGCTTTAATAGCTTTACAATGTGGTCTTAATGGAAATGGAGATAGTGAAGTTTACAAATGAATCCTTAGACGAGCCTGTGGGCCGACTTTGAGCAGAGGAATGAGAAGAATGGACCCAGAATCTTTGATCTACCTCTTCAAGGGCTTCAAACTTACTCTGGGTGTTTTTTTTCATACAATTCCAGCCTCACATTGAACAAGTGTGTGTCAAACAAAACATTCCAGCTTCACCAATCTAAAGCCTCCTTGTGCGTTGACGCCACAAAAGTCAATCAGTTGATATTCTCCGCTTCTCCATCAGCGTTCTTCGAGATCCCCCCACTCTCCACTTTCTGTAATTGCGAATTGTTAATCTGCGAGGCGTCGCCGGTGTATTCGCTGCGTCGTTACGGCTCTTGTTGTCGGATGCGGTGCGTTAAAAATTCAAGAGCTCTCTTTGTCTGGCGGAAAAAGGGGAAGGCGTGTTTTGAGTGCGGCTTGAAACGACCGGCTTCAAGAAGTGCGGGCAGAGACGGCGAAGTGCAGGAGTGTGTTAGAACGCCGAGATGTGACGGCGGGAAAAAAGAAAAACTACTGTTCGCTGTTTTTTTTTTTTAGATCTCGGTCCCTCAAGACACAGCTGAGAATCAAGCAGCCAAACCGCGAGGCGAAAAACCACAAGTACAGGGAGCGGCTGTGTTTGAGCAGGAGATAAAGCGTGTTTGTGTGAGAGACTTTGCAGGTGAATAAAAAAACAGCTTTCACGATATATAAAGTTATCATGTTGACAGTTTTGGTTAAAATACTGATGTTATTGTCTTACTTACCGTTCACCAATGTCCTCTCTTTACCTTTGAATGCGCTGGAAACGGCCAAAGCCTTAAGTGTCTCTGAAACAGTTGTTATTTTGTGTTTTGGGCTTGTTCACACTAAAGGGCACAAAAATGTGACAAAAGGCCAAAAATTAGGTTTTAATAATCAGAAGATATTTAATGTTTTTCATGTTTCCAAACACCTCCTCTGTCCATTAGAAGTTTCTGGAACAAAACTGTTTTATACATTTGACAAGTTTCCTGTAGTGGCCCTGTTTATTTTATGAAACGGCAGAAGTTTGTTACGTATTTTCAGATCCACATTTGATTAAGAGATTCTATTATTTTACACAAAGTAGAAACAAAGTAGAAACTTTCATATAATAAAACAATTACATGTGAAATCAGACCAGATTTTTTGTTTTCTTAAGTTTCATTTTTAAGAGAAAAAAGGACGTAAACCATCACGTCCGTTACACCGTTTTGAAGGGTCATTTAATTTTTATTCTTTTAATTTTTTTTGACGATTCCTTTTTATATTAAGTGATTTACTTATTTTGTGTTCGCCATATTAATCTTGTGGGATTTCACCTGCCGCTTTTTCAGACTGAGGACTTTTTATTTTCTATGTACATGTAATTGAGTCACAGTAGAATGGTCCAATCAGAGGCTGGTTTGGTCGTTTAAAATGTCAAAAATATATTTATCGATCTTTCCTTTTGATTTTATCCACTCTCTTCAATGTGTCTGTGTTTGAAATCTTTTTTTCCAAACTATATGATATGATATGATAATTTTGTTTTTTAAGTTATAACCTTTAAAAGTCCAGACACTTTACTGTGAACTCACTCTTTTACAATTGTTATTTTTCTTACTTTTTTAATGTTGCTGCAGTTCAGTGTTCATGGTTTTACACCGGTCCAGACCAGAGCAGAGAGGATTCATGGTCTGAACCAAGAGGAATAGGCAAAATCCACTGGAGGAATGCCAACCTTTTGAAAAATGCCCAAATTCCCTCCCAGGGGCATCATAGAATTGTTGATTCGTGAAAATGAGATTAGAAAATCAAACAATGATCAAAGAAATAAACAATCAAACACAAAGTAGAGTGTGGTCTGTGTTGGGCAGTGATTACACACGTGGCACTCTCGTTTCCCAGCAATCAGATCCTGGACTTGAATCCTGAACAAAACTGGGCCTTTCTTTGGGGAGTTTGCATGTTCTCCCTGTGTCTGCATAGGTTTCCTCCAGGTGCTACGGTTTCCCTTACCACTAAAAACATGTACAGGTCATATCCTCCAACTCTGTCCGGACCAAGCGGAGAAAGTGGCATTGGAAGGATGGGTCAAAAGAGGACAAAGAGAAAAGAAGAAAATTTCCCTACAAGGACAATAACGCAAAACTATTCTTGAAACTGATCCATTGGCATATGTTCTCTCATAAAATATTTGAATCAAAAATACTTCATAACTTTACTTTGATGTCTTTTATTGTAGCTTCCTTCTCCTTCAATTCAACCTGCCTCACACACATATTTCATACAGTTTTTGCTCAATGCCAAGTTCAACAATGAAGAAAAATTGTGCTGAGAAGGAGCCAGCGACGGCACAGAACCTTCTCTATTCTCGTCATTTCTCTGACTTACACAAAGGGGAAACATGTATGTCACTTTGGGAAGAAAATCAAATCAAATCCATGTCACAATTTAAATAGAGGTCTCTTTCAAAATTATGTTTTTCTACAAAAATGTTCAAAATCCAGCTTGGGACTTGTTTTTAGCTTCATCCACACTACTATCAGCATGTTTTGGCACACATTCTTACGTTTGAGCCCGGGCTGTCATAGATTATCACTAATGCAGATGAAGCACAGAATGTCTCACATTCATTTTTTTCTCAATGTATTTATTTTTCTGTTTGATTGGGACAACATTAGCCTGGTCTTACCACACCATTGTTTTCATACTAAGGTCTGGATTTGCTCCATTGACTCCGTTAACAGGTGGGAGGGGCTAACTCCTTTTGCAGATGGAAACGATTGGATCTGAGTTTACCGTCACATACAATATGTAATGCACCGGAGTGAGTTGCTAGCATTTAGCATTTAACCTAGATTTGGGCATCTCCTTTGCTGATAACGAAGCGCGTGGGGAGTAGAGCCACAGAAGAACCCTCTGGCTTCGCCTTAAATTTCTCCTTATTTGGAGCCGAACTAGAAAGGAAAGCCAAACTACAACCAGCAATGTTAGTGCAAACAGTTGACGTCACTGACACCGACCTACAACACCCGCCTCCCCCGCTCGCTGATTGGTCGAATGGGATTCAACCGAGGTAACTGCAGCCACTAGGATCAGACCCAGACGTACATGAAGGAAATGGACCAGAGTTTACGAACGGCTAAGACCTGATCTGACCGAGGACAACATACATTAATGAACAATCGTAAATACAGTTCACACAAACTGCTCATGTACGTGTGTAGTCCCAGGTCACACAAAAACAATGTAAGAATACAAAAGGCTGATGCTAACTTTGTACCTTTTGAACATAGAGAATACAAGCCTAATCCTTTTGTACGTTATACTGTGTGTAATAAAAGTTGTGTGTGAGTTTGCAGCGATGGCAGCTGCAGAGACGCACAGACTGAAGTGTTGAGAACAGATGCAACTGCGCACTGACAAAGGGAGTCTGCTGCTGCTGGCGTACGCATCTGGGCACAACTAAAATAATGTGGAGTTTATCACGTCGGTCTGGCTTTGTCCATCAAACAACGAGCAGAGAGGAAAAAAGCCAAAGCAAAATGCTGCTTTGCCTGTTTATGAAGCAGCTGTTGTGAACCAGTTTCAACACGTTATGACATATGCAAAAATGTTCCCTTGTCAAAAAAATACCTGAGGCGTTTTCAAAATACTAATAAAATAAAAAGGTCAAAACAAACTTCTGACTTTCAAAATAAGTCTTGAAAAGTCGCAGCACAGAGCACGCAGGACCCCAGGGAAATGCATTATAAAGGACAAGGTTTTCCAACAATACTATTCTTTACACTCACTCCTCTTTTCTGTTGGCACACAACCCCCCGTGCTTCATTCACCCAAACACGGCTCCACGGCTTGTGTCTCTGTAATTATGCAAAGTACTGTGCCTTGTGTGTAGTTTAAATACCTTCTTCTCACATAAAAGCAACGGCCTATAAAAAAGTTGTGTCTCAGGCTACATCCACACATAGAGTGCTTAAATCACGACAGCAGTTATCTCGGAGGACTTTACAAAGTTGTCGGCTCTCCAACACAGATCAGAGAATCAAACTCCTTAGACCCTCCTGTAACAGGGAGGAATACAAGTGAGAAATCCTCGGGGAGGCCCACATTTTGGGAAGCATCCACTTCCACAGATGGACAAGCTGTAGGTTCAGGACTCAGGCTGTAGAACGAGGATTGAGGCCACGCAGGACCGAGGGAGGTACCAGGTGGGGAGGGGGTGCAGCC